ATGTACAAAGAGAAATACGTTTTCCAGCCCTCGGCTGGGTGTTGATGTGGACTCGTGTGGTCCGAAATGATTAATTGCCTCGGCTCAATTGGAAACCGCACACGCATAATGCAAATCCAATCTGTGGCGGATGGCTATATGAGTGAACTCATGGCTATTGGTAGATGCCATCTATCGTTTATTAATTAGGCAATCAAATCGAATCATTTAGTATTAGTCACTGATGTGTGGAGCATTAAAAATTATTTCTGTAGGCATTTGTCACCCAATTAAACCGACTGCAGCCAAGTGCCCCCGGCAGTCATCCAAAGAATCTACTATATAGCCGTCGTAGAACTCAACTGCAGCGAATTGCAATAATCGAAGTCTATATAGCGTCGAGACTTTTATTAATGATGAGTGAAAATGGGAAATGAGAATATTTTCCAATTTCAAAAAGCAGGAGGAGGTGCAAAAACAGCCATGTGTGTATGTGCTCTGATTAATCATGTACAGCCACATAGGCAACATGGAAATGAGTCAGTACCGAGCCGAATGTAAGAGTATTTTTCGATTTTTGTTTTTAGAAATTTATGAGCGACAAGCAAAATGTATTTTTAAAACATATTTCATACTCCACACAAAAAATCGAAGGAACATCACATACATATTCTGTGGGCCGTACCAGAAATTGTGCTGCCTATCAAGCCGATTATATACAAATATATATGTGGCTGAAAGGGTCTGAAATATATATATATATTTTTTATTAAATGTAATGCCTAAATAAGAATTTTAAAAACCAAGTGTATCCCCCGATTTGAAGCAATCAAGCCTAAAGAAAGCATTGCTAGAATATTAAAATGTCAGGTAGAGTTGCTGAAGCTTTAACACATATCTGGTGTAGGTACTAATACTAGTTCTGTATACGGTGGATTTTCTATATACCTTGCTAGCTACCTACTGAATCTAAAAAACATTTCATATGCGTTTAATATAGCCGCCGCTGTGGTCTAAATTTAAAACAAAAGCTATTTAGTTGCGAAGAAGTTCAACACAAGCAAACGGTCTCTACTCGCTCTAGTCAGCCGCTGTGTGTGTGTATACGAGAGTATCTGAGATTTACTAGATACACAGATACGGATGAATACTGGGTGACTGCGTCCTGGGCACTAGCTATACGAATACGCATACGCCGTGTGGACCGACAAGTCCGTCAACATATCTCACAGATACAACAGCATCTCGCCCGATTGTATCTGTATCTCTCTACACTAAAACATCGATTAAGTTTACAATTTCAAATGTTTAATTTAATTTAAAATATATATCTATATAATCTAATATTTATTGATATTATAAAGATATTATAGTTATTTTCTTTTATTTGTAGAAACCTTTGAAATTTGGTTATTGGCTGTTGACCGGGTTATTTGTTTTAATGTTTCTTAGTTTCTAGAAACCAGTAAACTCAAAAATCAATTGAAAACATTTTATATATATTTTTTTCTGTGTATCTGTTTCTTTTTATTTTTTCCTTTGCCCGTGCTCGTCAGCACGTTCATGTCCAAGTTGTGTTGGTGTTTTCATCTCATGAAATGTTTCAATTTGTCTATTTTTAGTCGCAAGTTTCTTTTTGTTTATTAGTTCTTCGCTTTTTGTTGTTATTTTTGCTGTTGCTCTTTTTCAGCTTTGACTTTCCCAGCATGTACAGCGAGTATATAGTTTGTCTTGGATATATAGGCGATGTTTCTGCTGCTCTGATTTAACGTCACAACTAAGGAATGTCTCTCGGGCAATTCTACTGCTCGAACAGCCTGGATCAGCCACGCATTGTTTGGCCCGTCTTTCATATGTTTTTGTGGCCGAAAAGCTTTAGCTATATATATCGATATGTTTATATAGTTTCCCTGTACATAATATGGTACATAAAGCGCTAATGGCTGCGTATTTGCTAGGTGTTTGCATCGTTTTAGAAGTAAGGTCAAACTATGCCCGTGCGAGTTGCCTTTCGCTGATAGCTAAGGTATAGCCAATGGGGGTATTATATACAATTTTTATTTTAAATAAGGTTTACCACTAATTCGAGAAAACGTGAGATCTTAGAAAAATAGTTTTTTGTTAAAATGATATGATAATATTGATATTGAGAAACTTGTTTAATTTCTTCTGGTATTTTCTTATAACATTAAAATTTAATTGTATTACTATTATTTCGAATTGGTTTGATTGTCTTTTTTCTCTAGACAAATGGAGGTTTTTTATACTTATATGAAACTCCACAGCCTATGGAATTTCACAGATTTTTAAATTGGAAATTATTAGAGGACTCCTTTCAATATTATTATTTTACAGAAATTCCTTACCAAAAGTTTACCAATTAATAGATTGTTATATTTATGTTTAAGGGAAGTCCCATAATTATTTTATTAATTAAATTTAATGTTAATATTCTGTTTTCCAAATCTTTAATTCTTTTGACACATTTGTTGACTAATATTTTATTTTGCGAATGAGGGGTTCCTTTATAGCGAGTTTTTAAATTCCAAAATAATTTTTTGGATGCTTTAAAATTCCGGATTAGATATCTCCTGTACAAATACTACAAATTTAAATTAATGTTTAAGGAAACTACACTGAACATATATAACTAATCCTCCACTGTAGTCCTGTAGTTATTCCATTGAACAGAGTTAAATAACCGATACGATTGATCCCCCATAAAGAATGCCTGAAGATTGCGTCTGGAAATGCAGCCAACAGACTGGCAGGCAGTGAGTAAACAATATAACCATAAATTGGTTACCATGGCGCTGATTTCAGCTGCAGATAGAAATACTATAGATACACCGTATCTATCTGCACCAGGCATAAACAATTATAAACAACATGTTTTGGTAATGTTACGCTTAGATTCGCTCTACTACAGTGTTTTGCAAACAGCGGACGGGCATAAACAGGGCCCAGCACAAGGCTCGATGGAGGAGCTACTTGGGATTCGACACGATGGCTGGATGGGGCTTTATCTGGGGACTACACTCTCCACTCCATGGGGCGTAAATCAATATTACGCTTATCTTGACCAACTGTGAGAATATTCGCAGGCGCGATCCCCAAAAGATACTAGTCGCATAGCCATGACAGAAATTCGGATATGGCGACCTCACTCGAGTTTCACTTTCCGCACGCCATGGGTTACTGGTCGGAAACGCGAGCCTGGATCTTTCGCGATCCAGCCAAACTCATCCGCTACCTGGTGCTCTTCGTCTGCTGCATCGTGGTCATTGTCCAGCTCTACGAGTGCTTCTACAAGCTCCACGACCCTCCCATCTCCACGCACTCTTATTACAACCTAAACGAGACCATTGAAATGCCAGCGGTTACCATATGCCGGGAACCTCCTTACAGGGAGGAGGTGCTAACTGTGAGTGGAAGGAAAGGATTATAACTTAATCAAATTGAAAGCGATCCCATTAAGATTCATACGGTTTTAAGACAAAAACACCTAGGTAATTGGATTTTAACGTACACTTTTAGACTATCTCTGGCGGTTACTGTCCCCATCCAAAATATGCAACCTGCTGGATGAACTATCCATTTGGAGAGGTTTCCCTGGACGAATTCTTTGAAAATGGCACCCACGACATGTCCGACACTTTCATCATGTACGGGCTCAATGGCAATGCAAATAGTAGGAAATTATTTACTTGTTCTAGTCATTAGTATTACAAAGAATATTGATTTGATGCAGACTTGGATATGAACAGCAGTTTGCACTTCTATATGGGTCGGTGCTATACCCTTCGGCCCAAGGAGCCCACCAAGAGGGTCTCCAAAGCAGTGGGTTACTCTCTACTGCTAGACCATTCCCGAGTCACCACTTCCACCAGTGATGTGGATACGGGCAGTGCAGGATGGCATGTCTTTATTCATGAAAAAAAGGAAAACTTTACAGGTGAATTTGATTTAAATTTTTAAGTGAGTTGTATTTAAAATAAGGTAAGTTTACCCTTCAAGAAATCAATATGAAGGGTTCCGGACGAGTGGAATACGTGTTCGTTAGTGTCAACGAGGAAATTGAGATAAAGCTGCAATCCCAGTATTTCAACAATGTCCAGACCCGAGAAGAAGCCTGTTCCAGTGAAGAGGGTTACAGTGACTTAAAGGTACATCTGTAATTAAATCCTAAATTGATTAATAAACATAAATCCTTTCAGTGTGGTGAGCATTGCATTTGGAAGGATTTGGCTGATAACATGCAGTGTTCGGGACCCTGGATGCATGAAATTGAGACCGAACACTGCAATGATACCCTCTCCATGAGGCAATTAATTTCGGATTATAAAGAGTACGACTACATTTGCATCGTGAGGTTTTGTATTCATAAAGATTGTATTTTTTCAGAGTGTATGAGAACGAGGACGACTTTGATTGTGATTGCATTCAGCCCTGCCAGTCGAGGATCTACACCACCTTCATTCAGAACCGCAAGGCCTTCAACCAGCCAGAGCCGCGCACCCTAATCTATATATACTACACAACCAAACTGATATCGGTAGGTGGAGTCGAGCAAATGATGATGCATCGAACATTGATTGAACTCGTTTACGTTTCCCTTTCCCTTGCCAGATGATCGAAGAGCGTCCCAGCTATGACACTACGCAGTTTATAGCGGATGTGGGTGGTTCCCTGGGGTTTCTGCTTGGTCTTTCCGTCTTGGGGTTGATTGGCATATTAGAGCATGTACGTATAGTGGTGAAATATTAGAAGGAAAAGCTGACTCATCTTACAATTTCAGCTGACTCTTTTCTTCTGCGGCGGCTTTATTAAGAAGATGCAGCAGAAGGAGCAGGAATTAAAGGACAAAAGCTCCGAGGATGGACAGTCCCAGACCAGCGATGAGACCATCGATATAGCCATCGCATACAAAAAGCCAAAGAAGAAATCTAGATATTAAGGCAAGAACCAAGCTGGCTTGGTCTTTACATTTCCAGTGAGAAGTATCAAGAAAACTAATCAAATTCACTTCTTACATTTAATCAACATTACATACAAACAACGTTACAATTTTCTTAGCCTATAACTTCTTACAATACAACTGCACTCAAATAAATGTATTTCGTATATTTTAGAAACATTTAACGTTACTTTATATTTTTTCACTTCCAAAAAATCTGAAATATCTTTATAAAACTTGTAACAATTGCCAACTACTATTTTTGTTTTCTTAAAAGACTATTTCAAACTAATGAAAATCTGAAAATATTTAATTTGAGTGTGTGTTACGATACTTAGACCTAGATTCTTAAGCTCATCAGCAAACTAAGACCAACTAGAGAGCTCACTCCCAAGAGGGAAGCTCCCGAAGTTGTCTTCAAATTAATGTTGGTGTTGAGAATGTCACCAAACTTGTTAATTATATCCGGCAGAGGGGAGGTTCTGATTTCGCAGGCGGTATTCTCGATGGCCTCCTTGACGCTAGCAGTTAGAATTCGGAAATTAATGGAACCGGCGTAAAGCTCATCGTAAATGAACACGGGCAGCTGATTGGACAGGACCCACAGGCGTTTCTGGTCGTCCACCTTGACGTCACTTGGGAACACCAAATACTCGTTGCTCATGTAGATGCGGCTCTGGGAGTTGTGGGTAAAATCAGTGGCTGTGCGCCAACAGGCCACTTCATTGAGATTGGGCAGAGTGTAGAAAAGGACACCCGTGTCAGGGTCCAGGAACTCAGCCCCAGCCTGGGTATTGCTTCCTCTGGAGCCCAGGACTTTGAACTCGCGATAAATCTCAGGTGATGTGGCCAGGGTTTTGTTTCGCAGTATTCCCGTATCCACAGTAAACTCCATGGTCGAGCAAAGTGGGTGGAAGTACAGTGTGGAGTAGCCCGACTCCAAGGGCTTTGAGAGAGTCAGACCGTACAGGCCATCGTCCCACTGGAAATCAATGCCATTGATGCTGAAGTTACCGGCCAATGGATCCGGGTGGAAGAAGTGATGCTGGACTCGCCACGACTCCTGGTCCTTCCATGAGTACACCACCAGGCCAGGATTGCCCAGATCCGCAGCGTAGGCGAAGCTGTTCTCGCAGTCAGAATCCTCCACCGCCAGATTGGCAAACAGAGAGGCCTGCTTCACCTGATCGGCGGGAAGAACGTGTCGTCTCAGCAGATCGTCATTGTGCAAATCGTAGACCAGCAGCTGAGGTGCTCCATATATTCTGGTCTTGTCCAAAACCCCGGAGATACGAGAGTCCAGCACCCAGAGTCGGCCACATCGATCGGCTTTCACACGGAAAGGAGAGACCAACTCCGGTTCTGTTTCCAGCTGACTATGAGCCTGCCAGCTAGGGAAGGGCTTCAGAGCGGGCATCTTACTGGAAGTGTCTGTGGAGAGGAAAGGTTATATTATATATTAATTATATAAATTATTTTAATTCATATTTTTTATGAATATATATCCCAATATATCAAGTACATATGTATGATATAAAATGAAATCGAAATCAGGTTTAAAAACGCCTCTATTGTTTAGGAAGTTTACTGACCTCGCATCAACAATCACTTTATTTGTTTACATTTTATTTAGCTTTTGGTCATTTGCATTGCTTCTCGCTTAGATGACGCTAATTGGAGTCTTGACAATTTTTGGGTGTTCATTGGCCGGCAGCTGCTGATGAGTAATCGTCAATCTGTTTACCTGATTGCACTGAAGCTTTGCATTTTGAAATGTCCATACTGATTAACTGGCTGGGATTGAGTTGTGGTTAAGACAGCTTCCCACATGCTTTCTTGGGTGAGGCGGTAAAAGGTAAAACAACTGTATTAATGGCACCTGGATCTTATACAAGAATATGCTAATGTTATTTATTACTTTTGATACATTTAAAAAACTATAAAGCAAACAATTACTCATTAAAGACCTTTCAGTTATACTTCATGATTAAAATATAAGCATTTCAGGAACAATTTAATGGAGTATCAAAGTTAAAATATCATTTAAATTAAGTTTATTTTAACTTTAATTCATTTAAACTGATAAATAGAGCGGCTGCCCATAAATACTCCACTTTATAGACTGATCTCAATCGCAGCAAAGCATTTCGTAGCCTTTAATTCAGTCTGTGCACTTGCTATGACCAAATGTGAGTGTTTATTGTGCACTTTACAGCCTCCACGCAAAGCTCTTGGAATATATAGACGCAGTGCGCACCGATTTGCGGTGTACGACTGTTCTCAGGCATCAGGCAGACAGTTAATGACGGCGGCGAGCGAAATTACTATGCTAATTGCCCCAAGTGCGAAAGGAAACGGAATTGTTTGGATGGTCAAGTTGATCAGACAATTCCGAGACCAGACGCCACGAAAACAATACCCAAACTATGAGATCCGAGATCCGAGACTCGAGATCCCAGATCAGTTCTTGGCACACATAACACAGTGCAACCGCCGGGGTAATTATATACATAGTTGTGGCAGCTGCAGCCGTGCAACTCATGCGCTCACCATTAAGATCAAGGTATCCCAGCGAGGCCGGCACTCCGGCCCGCCATCTGGGCAGGGTGACGAAGAGGCGATGACCGGCCACCTCCAGGCCGAAGGGTATCACATTGGCCGGCTTGAACTCGCCGCGTTCGATGGCCGACCACCTCTGGTCCGGACTGGCGTACTTGAAGTCCATCTCCCGCCATTCGTAGGCCACGCGGAGATTATCGTTTCCCTGGGCAGCCAGTGCCCACAGGAGGAGCAGTCCCAGACTGGCACGCAACATGACTCTAATCTATTACCTGCAAGACAAAATAGACAAAGATCAATTAAAATAAGCTGCTGGCCCACTCAGTTAAGCTTCCGTTAAGCCGCAACGGCCTTGTCCAAGCCATAAATTTAACCAGATCAGGCGACACTCAAAAAAATCAAAATTTTGTTTAAGTAAATTAAAGATAGAAACTTCAAATCAATGTTTTCTTATCCGCTAATTTTTACTGAACAAGTTTAAATATTTGCCATGTTTCATGTTATATAATATTTTATATTTCCCAAAACCAGAATATATATCTGTTGTTATATCAAAATTATTAATATCGATTCAGATATCTTCACGCCAAAATATGTTTATTTTATTTTTTCTACAATTCGGTGGCGATTGTCAATATTCCACATATTTTGCCATTTGTTTTCCTGTATGGGCCGATTTAATGGTCTCTCAATCTTGTCACTTGGTCCAGCCCCCGCCGCTGTACTCTTGGCCACTTTGTTCTCCTCTTTATGACTCATACAGTATGTCTTTGGTTCACTCGGCTATTTGAAAGTTGTCTTTAGTATGCTTCGAGCCGGCCAGGTTCTGGCTAAGTTGCCAAACCACAAACATTTTTATTTTTGTTTTGTGTTTCGGCTTAAAAGCGAGTCTTGAGGTATACATTATCTAACCAGCAAGATTGGACGCATGACGATGTTTTCTGCACCCTTCCAGCGGGTATGGTTTCCAGGGGGGACTCAACGTGAATATTGACTATAAGCATCAGAGACCTTTCTCCCTCTTCACCGCCATTCAAGACGACTCGCACCTCACTCAATCTTTTATTTTTAGAGTATCGTCGTAACGTCATGGTATCTTCGTGCCTCAAACACTCGACCTCATCCTCCGAATTCAAGTTGGGTCTCGTCATTCAGACATTAGCATTTCGATGAGCACTTTGTCTGACCGCCATTCTCTTTGATTGTTCCATCTAATAAACTTTATTTATGATCTGGGCATTGCTCAAAATTCGGTTTTTCGGTTGAATTTTCAAAGTGAGTCAGCTTTAAAAGCCCTTTCCTTAATTATGGCTTTTCAGTTTTGAGTGTGGGCGTGTCTAGGTACAGATTTTGTTTGGTTATTAATAGCTTTGGATCGGTTTTAGCTGCACAACGTAATTGCTGTCTAAAATATTGTTTAAATGGGTTTTTCCACCACTTTTCCTATTTGTATTTTTTATTACTTAACACGTTACTTTTGTTTATTTAGTCTTTTTGTGTACACTTTATTTTTGCAGTCAGGTAGACGACCATTAGAGGAGGGGCTCTTTTTGGCCAACTCCAGTTATGCAAACCTTGTCACTTGGCTGACTTGAATTCAGGCGAGTTTGAATGGAGTTCAGTCGATCAAAGTTTGTGTCTTGAATCTTTTGTCTGGCCCTGGCTTCGGTTTTATGGCCAGTGAGTTAGCTTTATTTCCGAATTGTTGGACAAATCTGTACCAAATGTCAACCGCTCGAGTCGGCACTTAACACACCTTTTCACAAAGATCACGCACGAAAACAGCCGCCTCACAACCGGCAGAGTCGAAGCTCGAAACGAAACTAAAAGTCCGTTGAGCCGCCAGTCAAGTCGAGGCCTGGGATGGCGTGAGTACTGGCTGCCTGCTCTCCCCACGCCGCTCTCTTGGAATCCGACTGAACTTGAATTAGTCAGTCCGTTAAGACGGTTTAGCACGTTGAGAGTGAAATAAAGTAGTCTTTGGCACGCTCCCTGGACTAACCCACAATATAATGTAATATGCAAAGCTCCCACGCCGAATGGGAACATTAATCCAGCCATTAAAATCTCCAGCTGTGGCCCTGCGATTGACAAGCCCCTGAAAGTACTCCCACATCGGGAAGGAGGCCTACTGACCCATAAATATTATAAGATAATAGACAAGCCCGCTGCCGGTGTAATTTCCAATGTATATTTATGTAATTTAATCAATATTCCAAATTAAAATTCCATTCATTACCACGGGAGCGACCTCTGGAAAGTTCCCAGTGGAATCCATGAATGAATCTGCTTCTGATTGTGTCACTGACAGACTCAAGAGCCGGGGGTATAGCCCCATGAGTCATCGCAGGGTTTTGTGGGATTTCCACTTCAGCTGCGAAGAACGTGGTGATCAAATATGAAAGATAAATAAATAAAATGCATTAAATGCTGTGCTGGCTTCCAATGTTTGATCTGAAAACAAACCGAATCCACCCAAAAATAAACATCTTTCAGCTTATTCAGTTTTATATTTATTAAAATTTCAATAAATTAATTTCAAAAGAATAGAGAACAATCCAAACATTAAACTAGAGGTATTATCATTATGCATTTTTCTTTGTGTAATAGTATTTTTTTGTTTTTAGTTTAAAAGAATTTAAACAATTGCTTATTTTATCTGATGTTTGTATACTTTTTTAATATTTTGCGTCTCGGTAAAAAACATTTTACGTACAAGAATGCTAAATATAGTTGGTTTTTTGTTTGTTTTTCTCCTGGAGTTTGCTTTCCATTTACATTACAACATTAAAAATGATTTAACATAGCAAATTTGTTGGTTTTTGATTTTATGCATTTGCACTAAATATATTATAGGCATTAGCTAAGTATTTTGTGTGATTATTTTATTGGTTAAACGAACAGAAATTGGACAAGGGAAAACAATTTGCAGAGTTTTGTAAGCTTTAGTTAATAGTAAATGCAACAAAAATAGTTTAAAGCTTATGACAAATATATAAACAAGTAAAATATTTATATTTATCCAAGGATTAATTAATACAAAAACAAAAAGAAAACTTAAACTTTGGTCGAAAGCTTCAAAGATCTTTGGCAAATCAAATTCTTATAGTTTTTGCAATTAGTTTGAAAATGTTTCGATCTTGAAATACTTTCCCAACAAAGTAGTTGCAACTATCAAAGCATTATTAATTATTAATTATCGTAATCATAATGTGTGTTTATTGAAAGGTAGATAAATCAACACTAAACGAAATGTTTAAACAAACGATTTCTCGTATGTCTCTTTCGACTCCATCATATTCGGATGCTCTGAGATATGGTGTCGATGTGGTTGGTGATACTGCCTCCAGATTGTGTGGATTGTACAAGACGCGTAGCGTATGTTATGCGAGTCGTCTGATATCGGAAGTTATAGTAGTCATAGTGGGGTTATGCGTGTGGAAATAACGATTGTGTGGTGGTCGCAAGACAAGGACCGAAGAGTCCAACAGCTAAATCGATAGCTGTGATGTGCCCTCGCCTCAGAGTTACAATATACTGGACTGTACAGTCCATATATTTCCTGACTAGACTCCGGCACATCGCCTGCGTCCGGTTCAAACTTTTACTTGTGGTCGGAAAGGCATACTCTTCACTCAGGGCATGCAAAATATAATCCAAAGATAGACATGTACCACTTATGTATAGATATAGTTATAGATATAGATAGAAGGGGGAGGAGCAGGTCGGACGCAGGGGACTCTTCGCTCAGCAAAATTAATGTGACACGCTTTCGACTGGACCCAGCAGACAGTACGCTCTGGGAACGGTTGTGGTTGTCGGGGGTTTAGTAAGCTTACAGTGACTGCGATTCGTCCAGCTACTCGCGCGTCGCCCAGCGCAACGACAGACAGATTTTGGTGGACTTAATGTTAAATCTTTGTTTTCTTCTTGTTTCGCAAACACCTAAAGCCCATTGAAATGTTAACTAAACTTGTAGCTCTTATTGTACTCTTTTCAAACAAACGCGTGCATTACATTGTATCTTACAGCTAAAAGATCGGTTTGAAACAATATGAAATATAGTAATTTTAAATCAATGACCACCACCTAAAATAAATACTAAAAAATTCACTACAGACACAGGAAATGGAAGTCAAACGGTAACTGTATTCAAATTTCATGTAAACATTTTTTAATACATCTTATAAAAGCTTGCAAAAAAATTGATAATTAAATTAAAATACAAAACATTTTAATAGAATCAATCATTTTATTTGAGATTCTTAAGAAAATGTTAAAAGTTTTTCCCCCAGGGAAGGCATTGATGACGAGAAACAGCTCGACTCGATCTAGCCATCTGGTAAAACTTTCTAAGCGCAAACAAACAAAACGAGATCAAATCGAATCTTATGTCGCTTTTTAATTTGAAATGTCTCAAGCAGGCTAAAACTCGAGTCTGCAAAAGCTTTTTCTAATTCCAAATTTATGTTACATATTAAAATATTATTCCTATTTGCAAACTCACAGTATGCCTCTCCCATTTGACTTGCATTTCCGCACCAAAATCAATATATAAATAACAAGTAAAAAAGCAACTCTACGAAATCAAAGGCGTCCATCAAATATTTACATAGTCCCCGCAACGCAATACAGTTGCCGGAGTGAGAGAATAATAGGTATATTCTACGGATATGAGAGTTTAAAGACTGTGTACAGATGCGAGTTTAGTCGGAGAGTGTGTGAATCATATACGAGTTATGCCACCAAATCTGGGAGTTTTTCTGTCTTGCATTGAGGTACTCTCGTCTGAAGCACGCCGTTCTAACACCGCAGGACTATCGAACCGGACCAAACGAAATTCTGATATGGCCGTCGATATCCCGATGACGGTGCGGCGAATTTGCCAGACCCAAAAGTCCAACATTAATTTTGCGCTAAACCGGCCCGAGGGAGTTTGTAAATATTTAGATTCAATCGCTACTCCCCGGGTAGTTTTTCACTTGTCGTTGCTTGTGATTATAAATTACACAGTATAGTTATAGCAATACATGTATTTCTATATATATAGATAGATAGATGGTTGGGTTACAAGAGTGTAATATATAGGTATACTCAAACAGGGGTGAGTGTGTTAGTTGGGGTTTCGTGTGGTGCTCTCCAGGGATCTGAGTGCTGAGTTAAACTAGCCTTGGCTACACTGGGTAGAGAGTATTCTAAGATCCCGGGTATCTGATCCATGCTCCTTCCGGTCAAAAACACAACAAAAAAAAAGGGATATAGGGCTAGGACTTTCCAACTGCCAATCTATTCTACTTATGCTAGCTAAAACGTTCAGAAAGGTTCAACAAAAGCCTAAGCCCCTCTATAAAGAGTGGAGGAGTCCACGAGTATTAGTTTATATATTTATTTCAAGTTGAAGTTGTGGCTAAGAAGCTAGAGAACTCGGAACATTGGAAGAACGCTACGTTAACAAGGGCAACAGAAAAGCATCAATATCAATAACCTGAAAATATGTATCGAGTGTACTTGCTATAACACGTGGGGAACTCTTTAACAAGATGCTATTTCTCTGATATTTCTAAGCACTATATAGCGATGTGGGGGGAATTGGGTTTCTTGTTTTTAATTATTTGAGTCGTTGTTTAGTACCAACCATACCATAACCAAATGACTTAGGATAGTATTCATATGCATATATAATAATTAAAAAGAAAAACAAATTGATTGTAGATACCTGCTCTGATCTGCTCGCGATGACACACACCGAACTTATATATATTACACACCAAAAATATAGAAACGATACAAAGAGAGAGACGTTGAATATTTATGTATATGTATGTATATAAAATATTTGTATATAGTTAGGTATATACTATGCATAGGAGAGATAGGACTTACTTTTTGTCAGCTTACTGAAAGCAACTGAACGAATGAAGGAACGAAGGTCTAGACTAGGGATGTATGTATTATTGTAAAGAAAACTCCGATATAAAATATCGACAAAATATCGAAGATATTTTTCTTGTATTGAAATTTTTAAAAATTTAATTTTAATGTGAAAATAACTCTATTATAAATTATAAATATAAATATTTTTTTTTTTGAATCGATTTATGAAGCAAAATTCAATTAATCGAAGCGTTAAGATTTATATATCGGACTTTGCGATTGCCATCCCTAATCTAGACAAAATGGTGGGGCCTAAACAGAAGTTGTGTTGGTCGGCATTGCTTAACTTTAGTTTTTGTAGAGCATTTCACATGGACAGAAAGAATCGAAAGTATATATGTATAAAAATTACGCACGAATAACAACACAAGAACGATAACACAAAAATGCTGCTTATGGCAATTGTCAACATACCCAGAGCTTTGAGCGTTCAGGTTTTTGGTTTTGGTTTTTTGGTTTTTATGTGTTTCAAAGATGTTCTTTTCTTTTCGGTTTTCATTTGCTTTTCGGAGGAGATATACATATACTTAAACAACTTGGTGTGGATGTTAAAATATATGCTCGCTAAATAAAACTAAAAACAAAAAAGAATAAGAATGTTAAAGAAACAACAATTTGTATAAGGATTAAGTGTCAACGGTTAGTTTCTGTTGATTATACAGATATATAGATACAGATAAGGATAGAGATCTACAGCACAGCAAATTAGCTTCAGATGGAAAGTGTGTGTGTGTTATACAAAGAGCACGAACAGCATATTTAAATAGATGTTGTTGTGGTCGGTGTAGTTATGAACGCACATCGAGAGGGTCGGATTAGGAAAGAAAATTAAAGGTTTTTCTTTTTAGTGGGAAACAAAAGCCAGAATGTAGTGCTATGAACGAAATAAGTATATATGACATCGACTGATTTACTAGCATAACCGGAGATTAGTGGGTGTGGGCGTGTGGCGGAGAAGTGTGTGTGACTGTGTGTTGTGGGTGGAGTGTCTCAAAAACTGTTATACATTGAAAAAGAACTTGATTTTGGTTGGAACAATTTTTGAAAACAACTTGCTTGCTGAGTGCGTTTGCTGATTGCTGATGTACAAGCTGGATCCTAGCCTTGCCTTACTCGTGGAAGAGCAGCGGCAGCGGTAGGGCCAACAGCGGAGCAGCTGCTGGCCTAACGAACGGCTGCGATTGCTGCGCGTGCTGAGGATGCGTATGCGGATGCGTGTGCGTGTGCGGTTGCAGGTGCGTTGGCGGCTGGGCTGCTGGCGCCTGCAACAGAGCCGGCGCTGCGGGCAGACATCATCTGAAGCGCGGCTGCATCACCTGCAGCATACTCGGATGGCCCGGCAGCATAACGCCCATTCCAGGCATCGGCATTGCGCCAGCCGGCAGAGCCCCCGGCAAACCCGGCAATCCAATTTGCATGGGCAGTAAACCTAAAGGAAATATAGATATATTATTATTATGAATTCTGAATTAGTCGATAATTTCAAAAAATATCAGAAAAATGTTATTGTCCCCGCACTTACCTGCCGGAATACCGTTGAATCCTGGTCCACCGGCTCTAAGCATATTTCCGCCGATCAGAGCTCCGTGTGGTCCAATAGCCATTGCCGGTCTCAGCATGGGCTGCATCAGCTGCATGTGAGCGGGTAGCGGCATCTGAAGGAGGCGGATCGGACGTGGAGAGAAAGATATAGAAGAGCATGGAAAGGATGGATTTCGAGGATTAATACTCTTGAGGGCTTTTTCGCTTGGTCTATATATTGAAGCCATTGTACACAAAATTAGCTAATTTGTTATTAATTATGTTTGTTTGTTGTTTTGTTTTCATTTAGAATATTAATAAGATGTTTCTTTTTTTTTTGCGAACTTATTCAATACATGGATAAGAGGTGTGTGTATGTGTGTGTGTGTGTGTTTGGTTTGTTGTTGGTGGAGGAACTTCTTTGCATCGCATTACAAATGTATGATAGATAGAGCAGAGACAAGATATATAGAATAGAATATTGAGTAGAGCAGAGAGAAGAGACTCCTTCATCCTCTTCTAGTCATCATTGGCAAAAACAATATTATTTTATTTTTTGTTTTGTAAATAAATAGTTTGTTGATTTAAAAAAGAAAAGTACTTACAATTCGGAAACTGAACTGACGACGACGAGATGGTGTGGAGGGTGTGAGGGGCTTAAGGCTTGTACAATATCTTAACAAATTAAACGTATTCGCACTTAAGACAAAGTAATAGTCAACTGATTTACTAACCGGAGGGAGGCCACGGGTCGAGTTCAAATTCCAATATTCTTCAGTTAGAAGTTAGTTTCAAACATGGCTAAGAGGTGAGGTTGGTCAGTGAGAGATGAAGATGGATGAAAGCGGCTGGGTTAAGACAAACAGTAAGTTTAAGATGCACGCCCATACGCAAGATAAATTTCAGATCTAAATATATAATGCTCTTGAACACAGTCTAGACAAGAGAACTGCTTTCCAGCAGAAAAAAACGTTAGTTTATGATATTGAAAACGATAGTTTTTCGGGTTTCAAGCGGGCAAAGCGTCCGATTCAGGCTCATAAACGATAATAAAGTTAATCAGTTCCGTTCGTCCGTTTGCGCGTCCGTTTTTGAGCATTTAGCGAAACTATTGCGGAAAGTCCGATTCCTTGTACGTGTTTAATATTTTTAGCTAGCTTTTCAAATAAAGAAATTAATTGAGAGTCAGAAAAATGTATTTATCGTATGGCGTAACGCATCTTAAGCCTATGGTTAGAAGTAGTGCTATGGCAAGGTAAAAGAGGTTGGAAATGACAACAACCGATAGTCCACTACCCTGAATAAGCATTTGTACTGCATATTAAACCGAATGAATTATTATTAGTATGTGGATGAGACTTTATCGGATGAGATCCGTGTAAAAAAGGGGACACATAAATGCATGGCTTGGAGGAAATGAAACATTTATATTGGTTATACAATTTACAGATTGAAGAACACTTAGAGATAGTATTTTTCTGTTGCTTTTCTTATTGTTTGGTGGGTGGGGAGTTGTTATCGATGTCATAGAGATAGATATATATAGAGAGAGAGATAGACATATCAATGCGGTGTGTGTAGGTCTTACTTAATTGGTGTGTATTTTTGTGGATATGAATTAATCAATCAACCAATCAATCATCAATCAATTAAACCAACCAACGCAGCAACCATTACGACAAAGTCAAAGTAATTCTTTTTTTTTTTTTGTTTTGTTTTTGTAATATAAATTATTGAAATGTACTTACATGGCTTGCAAAATATTTTAAACACAACTCACGACTCTTCTCTCATTAATTATTATCGTAATTGTGAATTCGTTCATTCTGTTTTACTTGCAAGGCAGTATGTATGTACTAGGAACTTAATTTTTTTGGGAAATGGGGGTTTCTCAAATGGATTATATACGCATGGATGTGAGCGACTGAGAGAGATAGAGGAGGTAGGAGAGTAGTAGAAGGTACTTGCTTAGACTACATAATTACTTGCATAAGTACGACTAAATAATATTATAATGGAGTTTTTTGGCTTTTACTTATCTTTTTGCATTTCACATTTCATTTTGCGGGATGTGATTTTCGAGGGAGGGGAGTGATTAGGTTGGGAGTTTGTGGGAAAAGATTAACTTGTTGTTGTACAAAAAACATACATACTGTATAACACTGTTCGGGGCCCTGCGCAACACTTTTTCAACTCTCTTGCTTATCAACACTGAATTTCTGGTTCCTGTACTGCAATTGGTAATGGTAACTTTAACACATTTTATTTGGTTTTTACACGCTTTCAATACTTTCTCAGAAATTTCAAAATGAAATGATGTAAGACCTATTATTTTGAACAGTTCAAATCACTCGTCTCCAAGTCAGCTATGAAAAAAGTGTTCGTAAAGTAAAATGCTTAAAGCGAAAGTGTTTAAAAGTGTATTTAAATTTTAAATGCTAGATGTGACTACATTTTCTAGCAATTAAAAGAGGAAATAAAAAAACATAAAAGAAAAGAAGATAGCTGGGAAGTCGAGCTAAAGCACATTTTAATTTTTTAGCTATACAGAGTTTAATATACTTTCGAACACCTCGCATTTGTATATATTTTTGGTTGAGACTAGAAGAAATGATTTCAACTGTAGAAAATTAACATTAGTTGTGTGAATACTGCGAGCGGTTAGCCTTTTATTAGTTAACTTTTGCGGATCAGTTTCACTCAGTTGAAACTTGAATTCTTTAAAAAATGACCCCAAAATATGTCGGCATTTATCCTTTTTTTAACAGGTGATTGGCATGATCTGCAAAGGTGATGCAATGATGATGGCGAAAGCTTTTAACTAAACTATACATTTACATATATTGATTGACCCACTCAAAAATGCTGTCGTTGGCTTTTGGGCACCACCCTGGGACATTAGATGGGTTTTCTTTTCTAAAGTTGGTCTTTTAGAGATTGAGATTCTCAGCACTGGGATTCGATTTTGTTGTTAAGTCAAGTTCATTCTTTCGTTTGATTGTTTAGCGATGCATATGCAGAATCGCGGGACTAGAGACTTACCATGCCAACGGCTGCGGCCGCCGCAGCCGCTGCCGCAGCGCCCGGATTTCCGGGCTGCTGTCGTGCAGCCTGAAAGCGTTGGAGCATCACAGCCCGATTCAGTTCCTCCAGTTGCTTGACCTGCTGCTGTTGCACTGCCTGCTGTTGCTGCTGCGCCGCCTGCTGTTGCACTGCCTGCTGTTGTTGCTGCGCCGCCTGCTGATGCTGCTGCACTGCGTGGGCCACCTGAGCAGCCTGCACCTGTGCTTGGACCACGGCTTGGGCCTGCGCCTGAGCTTGAGCCTGAGCCTGGGCCTGGGCCACTTGTGCGTGAGCTTGCGCCTGCGCTTGAGCCTGAGCCTGTACCACGGCCACCAGAGCGGCGGTCTGCAAGTAAACGTTGGGAATCGGTTCAATTTATCTCACATGCCAGTGAAAGGGGTGTATTAAGTTCACAGAAACCCTCAATATTTTATGGACAATTAGGAACACAACATAACAATTCCAGGAATAATAAAGGTTAATCAACTTTAAGGGAAATGACAAAAAAAAACAATAAATTTGCTATAAACTTTCTCTAAAAAATTCGAAATATTTACTTGTTAATTGCCTTTAGAGTTTTTCTTTTAAATATTTAAGTTTTTCAAGCCCTCAAATAAAGATTAAAAAACTCAAAAATAAAATGCAATTTATTTACTTTCGAACATTGGGAAGGCTCTAAATTTTAAAATATATTTAACTGGTCTAAAAAAGTTGAGGGTTTAATTATATTATTTTTTTGTTTAAAGTTTTGCCAATAGCTTAATCTCTCTTCTTCCGCTTTTTAAATCTTTGAATACACACGGGGAAAGGAAGGGTTGGGCATCTGAGTTGCAACTTCAGGAAGCAAGGACAAGACAGGGTAAGACCTTACACACATCCCTTTCTTCAATTTGCCTACTTTCTTTGAGGTTTCCTGTTTTAAATCAAAGTAACTTAAGTGGTTAAATTGAAAACCGCCGTTTCGTTTGTTTTGTTGCCATTAATTTCTTTGTTTAATTAAAAAATTGTACAGACATATATCATCATCACTATATGCTAAAAAAATGTATTTCTTTTACGTTTCGTTTTTTCGGGTCTCTTGTATCCGTTCGCTTGTGTACGCTGATCTTGTCTCGTATAAACGTAGTTACAGTGTCTCATTCGCTCTCTTCGCGAAATGTGCAAAAATAAGCGTATTGGTAATAGAAATCGGTATTGATAAAAAGTTGTCCAGCTCTTAGAAATGGAATTATCTTAGAAAGCAAAAATGCCAACGAATTTCCAATATAATTAAGTCAAATAAAAGTAAGTTACATTTTCTTTTTTTTTCGGAAATTGTCTTTTATACAAGTTCGCGTTCAGTCCGTCCGTTTTTCCTTCTTTCGTTTGTTATTCGTCCGTCGTGTGTCCCGGTGTGCTCATTTATATTGACTATGATTTCTATAACTATGATAAGAACTCACTTCCTGGGCCTTCGAGATGGCTGTGGAGACGGCAAGCGCGTTAGCGGCAGCCATACCGCTGCTACTGCCCGTGGGCGATATCCCCGCCAACGATGGTGGCGGCGGGGTACTAGGCATCGACGAAGAGGCGGCACCGCCATTGTTGCTGGGACTCTGGCTCGTTTGTGGATTCGCGAGGGCAGCCATAGCGGCGGCCACACGCGCCTGGTACTTGGGCTGTCTGGCTCTCAGCTCTTCCAGGCTGAGGTCCTCTGGCGGATGCATGATCTTGGTGGTGACAGCAGCCGCTGGTCCACCTCCAGCAGCCGGTTGAATTGGCGGGCGCTGTTGCTGCTGAGCATCAGGTGGTCCGCTTGGTGGTGCGCTGGATGTGCCACCAGCATGATTGGTGGTGGGCGGAGCACTTATGGTTGCATTACTTTATCGAAAAAGTGAAAGAAATTAGATATTAGTTGGGCGCAGATTGAAATTAAATTACATTCCATTTCTACAGTAAACTTTTTTGTCACGCTGCAGTTTCGGGAAAAGCCACATTCATTAGAATTCATTTTCAATTTAAACATATTTAAAATAAATTGAAAAATGCTTATTCTAAGGTGGCTTTCCCCTAACTAGCGATCCCCCACCTGTAAGCTGGAAATGTTGGCTTCTGTTGGGCCATAGCGGCAGCATGGTGGTGGTGGTGGTGCGCCGCTGCCGCTGCAGCTGCCGCCGAAGTAGTGGCCATTGCCGCTGGAAACAGAGGACGCGGCGGCATCATGTGCGGCATCATGGGCATCGGATATGGAGGAAGCGGCGGCATATGTTGCATCATTCCCATACCATACTGACCCAGCATGTGCGGTGGCATCATATTTGGCGGCATCATCATTGGTGGCGGCACGCTCATGGGATCTGCAAGCAGAGGTATGATTTATTGGGATTTCCTTGACTACGATTGGGGCGGCGACCGCTTACATTCCACTTTCTTCTTGGCCACCGGCTCGTCGTCGTCCGAGTCCGACTTGCCGCCGTTCTTTTGGCGCTCGTGATCCCTGATGTCCTCCGCTGGTATGCCGTCCATGCCGAAGATCTCAATCTCTATGTTTGAGCGATTTGGCAGCGAGTTGGGCACTTTGTCGACCGTCTCCTTGTGCACCTGCATGCAGTGGATCGAGAGGCCCGGGCCGGTGTACAGCTTTTTGTGGCAGATGTGGCACTTGAAGTGCTTGGCCTTCTGGTGCTGCACCAGGATCTTCTCGTCGTCGAACTCGCGGTTGCAGTACCTAGATTTTTCGCTGGGAGTTAAGGAAAATGCCAATCTGTGGACCCCTCTGCCCCAGAGCCCCTGCCCACAATACCATTATATAAATGAGCGTGTATGTGTAGATACAAATTTTTTCACTCGCCCTCCCAGCCAGCGGCGCACATGCCGTGGACAACGCAGTTTTGCAGTTTGTTTTTTGAAAAGGATACCAGCACCAGGGTTTGGAGGCCTTCTTCTTCTTGCGTCCCATGGCTCCAAGTTGCTTTTAAAACACTTTAATTTACAAAAACGTTGGTGAGTGGTATAAAATAACAAGTTGATGCAGCGAAAAAATTATTTTGCCGTGGAAAACAAAATGGAGAGCCAATCAGAGTGACCGTTGGTAGCTCTGGCGACAATACAAGACTGAGCCGTTGGCCCACCAGGTGGCGTCTTTGCATGAACTTTCACTACAAATATTTATTTATCTTTTCTGTTAATTTGTTTAAATTAAATAATTTATTAAAACTGAAAAATCATTTTGGAACTGTCATAACAAACGCTTTAGAATACCAAATGGGAGTTATCGATATTGCAAAGGTATTTGGTATGATTAAAGTGTCGGTATATTTTACTGAATTTGAACGTGGGTTTATTAGGGCGCTCCACCACGGTCACTCTGAGCCAGCCGGCGTTTACCAAAAAACAGAATAATGGCAGATAAAAAGGTAAAATGTGTAAAATAATAGGCATTTGGCATTTCACCAACATGTACGTCGCCTTCCAGGTGGGCGGCAACAACGACGGCAAGGAAAAGCGGCGCAAGGAGTCCATCTTGGACCTCTCCAAGTATCTGGAGAAACAGATCCGCGTGAAGTTCGCTGGCGGCCGCGAGGCATCCGGAATTCTCAAAGGATACGATGCCCTGCTCAATTTGGTGATGGACAACACTGTGGAGTATCTGCGGGACTCCGACGAGCCCTACAAGCTAACCGAGGACTCTACGAGAAGTCTGGGACTGGTTGTATGCCGCGGCACGGCGCTAGTTCTAATATGTCCACAGGACGGAGTCGAGAGCATTGCCAATCCGTTCATAACGCAATAAACGGGAATCTGCCAGGAACAGATATGCGCTTAGACTAGGTATTCAACGCTTATGGTAATCGGAAGTTTAAATATATATATTTAGCGGAGACAAATGCATATAAATTATTACTTAGCTTTAACCTACTATCTAACTACCTCAGTCCAACCCGAACTCGTTCCGAATCCAGGGATACTGGGCCGGACACTCCATGCACGTGTAAAAGTATCGATCCTCCTGCAGCACCCGACTCCGCACCTTGCACACATTCGGCAGACTGCAGACCCGCTCGTGGGGATCCAGGTCCTTGGGCTGGCAGTGCCACGGCTCGAACTGGTGCAGCTGGTTGCTGGGCGTGGGGTGTCGCATCCACTGAATGGCCTGCTGGTTGGTCACAAAGTACACGTCCGGTAGCTTTTGCAAATCATCGAGGAATTTCTAAAATAAGCCACCGAGAGTTAAGTCAATTCATTTTCAAATAACTCGCAAACTCACCAAAAATGCATTCAGGTAATCGATTTTCTTGAACCAAGTGGAATGGAAATACAGGCCAAACGGTGCTCTGTTGCTGAGGTAGTGCCTCTTGAAATTGTGCGTCAGCATTCTGTAGACATCCTCGCCACTGAAGTGCGGTGGACAGCTGTCCACCATTCCGCACATGTATTCGCCCGCCTCCAATTGGTTCATCACCAGTTCCCAAATGCCCGGGTAGCTCCTTGAGGGACAGTTCTGATTCACGCCCGTGCAGCTGTGCGGCATCTTGTAGTCCAGCGTGTATGGCCACAGAGGCGGATTGGAGTGTGGAGCCACCATGGAGGCGTCGTAAACAAATCCAAACTCCTTCATCATCAGAAACTGACGGTTCCAGCCGACGCGTAGGAATGGAACGCGCATTCCTCGGATCTCCTCCATGCGAACGGCGGCAAACTTATTGATGATGTTGGCCTGACCCACCATCTCATCGAACCAGTCTTCAATAGTAGCATTCTTGGACCACCACATCTCAGGGCCCCGATGGCTAAAGGTAGGGAATGTAGGGAATCAATATGCTATTAACTGAGGTCCCGAACTTACGTCACTGAGTGGACTGCGATCTCATGGCCGTCGTTCCACAGCTTCTGCACATACTGATAGTTGGTAAATGGATGCGAGACATAGAATGTGCCTTTAATGGGACAGCCGTTCGGATTTCTCCGATTCTGGGTGAACAGAACCTTGGAGAATAACTCCCAATTGTCGTGGTTAATGGCATCATCGAAGGTGAGCACTATCATCTGTGGAACATTTTGCGACGGCAGATTCCCAGGTATCTGGGTGCCGTCTTTTGAGCAGAAGCAGTTTGGCAGCTGGCAGTTCCTGGGATCACACGCACCGGCTGCATTCGGATCGTGCTCTACATCACACCAGCCCTCATCGGAGCCGTCGGGACAGTCCACGGATCCATCGCAGAAATACTCCTGCGGCAGACAAGTGCCATCCGCACATCCTAGCTGGTACTCATCCGCACAGTCGGCCATCTCCAAGAGCGGCTTGGGCGCCGGCGTCTCAGCACTCACATCACAGTTGTCCACATTCGCCTTGAAGTCACAGATCTGACGCACAACATCGAACAGCAGGCCCTCGGAGCACTTAAATTCAAAGACCTCGCCGTCTAGGCAAAGGAAATACTTGGCGCACTCACTGTTCGTCCAGATCTTGTGAACCGGCCGATTCGGATTCCGGTAGAAGCGTGCATCTTGCATGCAACTCGCCGCTGCAGGGGCTGCAGCAGCTCCGGAGGTGGAGCGCCGGTGGCGGGCGTTGGTGTAGTTGTTGCCGCTGCTGATTATTCCATCATTGTCTGCAAAGCAGGCACACATAAACTGGGTGTGAGAGAGCCGTGTGTAATTAACAAGGAGACTAATTAATGCGTTGACCCAAAAAAGAAACTGCTCACGTCAACCCAAAATTAGCCATCGACTGCCGGTTGCTGCAATATTTTTTTTCCTTCCATTTTTTTTAGCTGGATACCAATCACGCATTCGAATTGAAGGCAGCTGTAAGACAGGGGAGTGAGCGAAAAAGCAAAGCCCACGTCTACCACTTGACTTGAATTAAAGAGTCGTCGGAATGTACCGGAATAATAACCTTTCAAGGAAATATACTCAATTTATATAACTTATAAGTGCTTGGTGACCTTTTAATAACAACCAAATTTAATCTGAGACTGTCTTTATATTTTATCTCAACATCGTCTGATGAATTGGCCTAAGGTTAGTCACGAAAGGTTACTAAAATCCATAGTTGAATATCGTTTTTGAACAGTTAACTGCCTTTGAATTTATTTTTATATGATGTCAGAAATATTTAAGAAAATAAGACTTATAAACTTATAGTACTAGCTGCCAGGGTCATTGCCTATTATTTTGTAAAACATATAATTTATGCCACAAATTATTGACTAATCAAAAACATAATATACAAAACCCTATAACACAAATTATTGTCATTATAAAGTTGAATAGTTAAAATCCTTCTAGACTTTAATTCATCGCCAATTTGCCGAATCCTCCCCTTGCTCCGCCCACCTTAATGGACGCCCCCAGCCATGTGTGCCACATTGCGGCGGATAAATTGAGTGCGTTTGCATCATAGATCGGCAGCAATGGCCCGTAGCCGATCCGTGCCGTGCCGCACCAGATCGTAACTCTGGCTGGCGGTTGTTGGGCAAGCGACGCGTGTGTTGTTGGCCAAATGCAAGATGCGATCTCGAGATATGGCTATAACAGAGATAGAGTCCGACTGCCTGTGTATGCCTGTATGTATCTTGATCTGTATCTGTGTCTATCGAGGAGTTGCAGCATTTAGAAAGTAAATTTATCATCTTGAGAGCCAGCAGCCACTGCTGTTGGGGCCAAGGCGGCGGGTCAGGAAAATTTCAGCAACTGTCACGCCGGGGTTGGGTTCAATGCACACACACACACACAACCCGACTTGGCTTGGACCTGGCTCCCCCGTTTTAGTTGTTATATAACAGATCGACAACTTTCACACCCAATGCGCGCGCATGCGCCAAAATAAAAGCAAGACACGCACCCTGTGGGAATCGAGCCAGTGTGGCAACTCGATAAGTTTTATCGCCCACATTTTTCAAACAACCGGGCTGTTAAAGTTACGATCCTGCCAAATCGCTAATATGCGATAGGACCTAAAAAAGACCACAAAAATTCGCGAACAGGATTTTTGCAAGCCACGGTCACATTGGATCCCCTCACTTCCGTTCTCTTTCTCACAAGGCGTCCCCGAGTTCGGATTAATTTTTGTCGATCCTAAATCCGCAAGCATCGTGTCGATCCGACAGTATTTGTTAAAGCGAATCATACCCATATTAAGTAAATTTAGTGCTCTAACGTATATTGGTAAGCTTGTGTGAATAATCGATCGCCGGAGTGCTAATTTTGCCTTTTCAAAACAGCGTCAGCCGTATCGGCAGAGTCGTCCAAGCGACCGGCATTGTTTTTGCCAGCAATTGCCCACCACGTGAGGTGGCAGTCATTTGTGGCATTCATCGTTGGCATTGTCTGTGGCTTCTCAGCGGGATCAACGCCACGTGTCATCGGAGCATTCGCACGCACAGCGTGGGGCTGCGCTTCCCATTTCGGCGGCCATACACGTGCCGATTGCGGTGATCCTCGATTTGGATTTTCTTTACCGCCTCGCTAACGTGTCACCGTTCCCTCACACGGCGCGCATATTGGATCGCCGTTCCCTCACACGGTGCACATATTGGATCACCGTGCTTTTCTTCGGCGCACCTATTGGATCGCCGTGTGTCTTTTTCGTGGCCACATCGTTCTTTGCCACATCGCCGTGCATCTTTGCCACATCGCGTGCGCTCTGCCGCATCCACACCTTGGCGGGCTGGTCTCGTTCCGCTCACGCCTCACGCAAGGGATTGCGGCCATCCCTGTCGCACATAGTGCGTGTCATCTTCATCAGCGCGAACGACGGAAGTAGCATTACATATCCGTATTGAGAGCTGGTGGCTGATCCGGCCCACACTCTGCTCCAGGAGCGGATAAACATGAATGATAGTGTCTAAAATATAATTAATTTTGCATATAGGAGCTTTTGATTTAAGAATTCGTACTTATAAACCTTTTCGGTCGTAATTTAGCAATTTTTTTTGGGAGATTTGGCAATTATAATATCGTTTTGTCCCTCAAATAACTTAAAACACATACAGCTACACATCACCAGTCATCAGGCCTGCTGACGTCGATGGAGAAAGCGTGAGTACGGCCTAGCCGCAAAACAACAAAATAAAACTGAACCCATCCTTATAATTTCGCCAAGACTTCTGAAATAGTTTGCACATCTTAATTAATTAATTGATTCAAAAGAATATTAATAAGTTAATCTATTTAATGTAAAGTAAAAAAGGAAAAAGCGTTCTTTCTTATCTTAAATTTTATTTCCTTTCATTGGATCTAAAACAAACTGACTCAATAAGAGGTCTCGTAACGTAAATAACGTAAACTTAGGCTTAAGGATTAGATTTAGGAAAATGTCTTTCAATATTATCTCAGCCTGCAATTATATGACTTTGAAAATGAACTAATTTGATATCTTGTTGGGCACCTAAGGGGATGTAGAGCATTGGTTGTATAAGGGTGGAGCCTGAATGGACTTCACAGGTTGGGAGGGTTTAGATTGAGGCCAATAACATCGGAGCCTCATCTTCAATAGGTACACTTCCTTCGTCTGATTCATATTATTTACCATATCCCCAGCTAGAGTATCTCTGTCTACAATATTAGTTATGTAGCACCATTGTTCATGTCAACACAAAACCCACGCCCATTTTCCCTGAGCCTGCCGAGCAGAAAAAGTAGACAGAGCGTGTTGAGGTGGACAACGCTCGGTGAGTGTGTTTGTTACATAATTAATTGGCGCCCAAACGTTAAGGCCAGCCCGATGCCTGATTAGGCACCTGTCGTTTGACAGCCGAGCTTCCCGTTAATATTCAAACCATCCACTTCTAGTTTCCGTTTAGTATTTCAAATTCTGTCCTGGAATTGATGGCATCTGGATAGGTTCGGAGCCATACCGGAGGAAATGTAATACTTTTAACTGTTTTTTTTCTATCAGTTCGGTAATAATCGAACATTATAGTTAAAAGAACATTCCAATTTGAGTAATTGATTCCTTGGAATTATAGTTCTGATTCAAAGTCGGTTCTATACCAGGATTTCAATATTCAAACACTACCTTCTTATCAGTTAGGATCGAGATTTTATCTGGCTGGATAGATTCGGCTAGTTACTCTTCTAATTGGTAAGACAAAATAAATTGATATTTATTTTACTACCCTTTATTTACATTCCGTTTACAACATTTGTACCTATTGAATGACACAACCAATTGCTATACTACCCAGGGTAAGACCTAAACTGCATTTCTCATTTATCGTATATCGTATTCATCTCGAACGACCAGTTTGTTTTCGTTATATCGTATCTTATCTTATCTTACCGTATCTCATTTCGTTTTTTTGTTTTATATTTCGAAAAGCGTCAAAAATGTTGACACACAGCAATGAAAATTTAGTAGATCTTCAGACTGATGAGTCTGCAAATTGCATCATCTGCAACGGACCAGTGTGTAATCTGGATTTACTTGAAGCCCGTTGCAAGCATTCTTTCCACAAGCTTTGCCTTGACAATTATAGCAAGAACAACGACAAATGCCCCAGGTGTGGCCAAACTTTCTCTCAACCCGAGGTAGGACCTCATTCGGCTCCTCTTAGTAGATCTCAGGGACACAAGGTACAGACACGTTCAGCGTCGCGAAATGCGGCAAAGCAAAACGGTGGTTCTGAGCAAAATTCACTGCAGGAAATTCGTAGCGAGGGTAACTCAGACTCGAGGGTGGTAACGGAAGATCACGTGGAAAAATTGATTCAGAAGTCAATGCAGACCTTCCAAGCTAACATGCTGCAGTCAGTTACAGAACAAATAACTTTGGCGTTCACACAATTGAATAGGTCCACATTTGCCAATAATGGACAAGGTGAGCCGCAGCGAGATTTCAGTCGAGACGGTTCCGATGCCAACTCAGATCGAAACAACATTCAACAGGCTAGGAATTCACCAGATTTTCGCAGTGATCGAAGTGATCTCTCTCTGGATCGACCAGACAGAATTTCGAATATTATATCCAATTGGCGTATTAAATTTAGTGGTTCAGCTAACGACATTGCTATAGAAGATTTTATTTACCGTGTCAATTGCCTCACTTCACAATGCCTGAACGGCAACTTTGAACTTCTCTCCCATTTTGCTAACTTACTGTTCGCAGGCCCTGCATTAGCCTTTTACTGGCGCGTTCATAGATCGGCAGATAACATGAATTGGAACTTGCTTTGCAGGCGTTTAAAGGAAAGATATCAAGATCAGAGATCTGATCGTGAGATTAAATGTGCCATGCGTAGACGCAAACAGGGTAACACGGAAAATTTTGATGACTTTTTGGATGCAATGCTTTCCATCGCAGATTCCCTTCGTGAACCAATGCAGGACAGTGAAATTGCGGTAGAAGTTCGTCATAATCTCAGACCGGAGATCAAGCACGAATTATTGCACATTGACACCCCAAACTTAGCAACATTGCGAAAGGAGTGTCACAGGCACGAAGAATTCTTTCTTAACACCCGAATGAAGCCCATTCAACGTTCGAACCCAAGCAAGCGTTTCGTTAACGCAATTCTGCAGGAAGAAGATTCAGAATCTCAGTCGGAGGAAGAACGTGAGGTCGAGGATGAAATTTGTGTAGTTAAGACGGCTGAGAAAATTAAGTGCT